GTGAAATTCAAGTGTTTTCGAGTATTCACCCATCTTGTTATACACAGTACCAATGTTGTTGTAGGAAGTAGCCAAATCTGGATGATTGGCAGGCAGAGATATTTCCGTCATTTTGAGTGATTTTCCGTAAAATTCAAGCGCTTTCGAGTGTTCGCCCATGTTGTTATACACTCCACCGATGCTGTTGTAGGAAGTAGCGAAAGCGGGATGATTTGTAGGCAGAGATATTTCGTGTATTTTGAGTGGTTTTTGGTGAAATTCAAGGGCTTTCGAGTATTCGCCGATTTTGTTATACGCTAGACCGATGTGGTCGTAGGAACTAGCCAGTAAGGGATGATTCGGTGGCTGAGATATCTTCAAGATGTTATTTGCTTTTTCATGAAATGGAAGTGCTTTCGAGTATTCAGCTATGTTGCGATACACCTCACCGATGTTGTTGTAGGAAATAGCGAAGGAGGGATGGTTCGGTGGCAGCGATATCTTCAAGATGTTATTTGCTTTTTCGTAAAATTCAAGTGCTTTCGAGTATTCACCCATGTTGTGGTAGACATCACCGATGTTGTTGTAGGAAGTAGCGAAAGCGGGATGATTCGGTGGCAGAGATATTTCGTGTATTTTGAGTGATTTTTCGTAAAATTCAAGTGCTTTCGAGTATTCACCCAAGTATGTATACACTCCACCGATGTTGTTGTAGGAAGAAGCGAAATCGGAATGATTTGTAGGCAGAGATATTCCGTGTATTTTGAGCGATTTTTCGTAAAATTCAAGTGCTTTCGAGTATTCACCCATGTTTGTATGCACTGAGCCGATGTTGCTGTAAATAGGAGCCAATGCATCATCATCTTCTGATAGAGTTTTCCGCTTGATCTCGAGTGATTTTTCGTAAAATTTAGATGCTTCTGGGTATTTCCCTTGATCGTTTTTCGAGATTCCAAGCTGTTGATAGATATGTGCTCTATTGCTTTCAGTGGAGGCATTCTTGAGTAATTCATTGTAGAGTTCTTCAGCTTGATCGAAATGTCCCACTTTGAGCATCAATTTATCCATTCGATGCCATCCTTCATCGTTGATCTCCTGTTTGATGCGATCGGTGAGAGTAGAAAGTTGTGGATCATTTTCATCAGTGATAGTCAAGTGTGCTTCCCAAAGACGACTGTTCTCAGCCATCTGTTTAATTTCAACGGCGCGAAAAACACTGTGCATTGTAAATAGTATTTCTTGTTCTGATGGAACAGCACTGTATTTATCAATTATAGCAAATTGAGTATTCGAATTTGAGAGTTTACTCTGATCAATAGTCATAATAAAAATAACACTAACATTTTCTGTACTTTCGTGTGGTGAATCATTAACAAAGTTCATTGCCACTTCTTTTTTTTTACTAGTTGATAAGAAGTTGTTGAACGATAGTAGACCACCTTTTGAATTACAGAGATTCTGAAAATCCTGTTGACTGAGTTCCTGACCACGATAAACGGTAAACGCTTGTTGGAAATTTGACGACTGTTCTTGATGCAATTGCTTTAGTTGAAGATGAAGACTTCGAATAAAAAAGCCTAACTTTATCATTGTTTCCATATCGAGCAATCGCAAGGCACGATTGAGCATACTATGGAGAAACATTGATTTCGAATACCACCAAACTGGTGATTTCTGGTGGTAATTACTCTGTAAGAAGTTTATCTGTATTTCAGGAATCCTTTGTTGACGAAAATAAATCACTAAAGTATTAATAGATTTGGCGTCGTCGTCGTCGTCGTCGTCGTCGTCGATTTCTAATATTATATCCTTGAAAATCATCGAGTACATGTACGATGGTGGTAATTGGTCAAGATTTTGTCTGTTGGATGCTACTTCTGACGTTTCTCGCTTTGGTATGAAGCTTATCGGTATTGCATTATGGTCGCATGATTGTGTCGCCTTTGTTAATTGCGCGCATATAGACTGTATTTGATGATATTTGTAAAGGAAATCTACATGTTCTTTCGTAGACGTCATCACTATATTTGATTTTCAAATCAAATTTATTATCAATCTCATCCCATCGCAAAACTCGCAAGTGTCCACATATTTTCTTGATGATAAAACACTTATCGATTGGAAAACTTAAGTCGTTCTCTTGATTGATAATATTGGTATCAGTGTCATATTTCAAGTATTCTTAGCAAATGTACATAATTAGTTTCTTGTGGGATCTTACTGGTAACTAAGAAAATAAGCGATATCCTATCTTATAATGAAGACATCATCTTCATCATTTTGCCATATTTTCTCTTGTTTTCAACGATTGACTTTGCTACTATAGTATGCGTATAGCAAAGAGCAAAGAGCAAAGAGTAAAGAGAGAAGAGAAGAATCCTGAATCCGTAATTCTATAATTTTCAATGTTTCTATGAATCTCAGAAATTCTCTTGAGCTCAGCAAGAATCTCAACCAATTTTGTTGGGCCTTTCGAACGATTTCAGTTGAGCTCCAAACGTTTCCAGATCCACACCATGCCTTTTTTTATTCGATTTGCCTATAAACATATGCATATGTATTCATTGATAGCTGATTAGTATGGATTTGTGAATTTCAAAATTCTACCTATTACCCTACAAGTCTTGTCACTTTGTTGAGCTATTCTTAGTTCTACTAAAGAATCTCAATAATTAATTCTTCAATTCATAGCTGCTGTGATGTCTATTTGCATAAGTACTGGGTAGCATTATTTATTTCTACTTTCTAATATCTATTCGATAAATCGAAATTAAAGATTTAGGAATATTATGCCGAACTTATTTCACTGTGAGCAAGTTTTCGACGAAAGATGAAATCGGCATTTTTACATAATTTATCATAAAGCTTTTATTTCTGATTTTGATCAAAAATATGAATCTAAACAAATGAGTCTTTTACATACTAAGGTTTAGATCGAGGATGTTTATACAAAAATAGCTGATGTCTTTCTCTGTTAAAATAACACGGCAAACAATCAGAATCTATTGCACCCCGAACACCATGGCGTTACACAGAATAATATTTTCGAATTTTTCTGTCTCACATATGAAAAACTCTGATACTATTTGTAGGTTGATTATTTGTATATGCATTATCGTTTCGAGCTTATTAGCTTTTAGTAAGTTACATGCATCATCACTTAAGAAGATTTTAAACACCTTCTTGATTTCCGAAAATTGAATTTCAGACAGTCAATTGAGGTCTGAGAAATTTTCTATTATACGTACATGCGAATGTCCTTGATGAATGGCATCGTGAGTCGTAAATGCCTCTTACTTTCGAACATTCATTCGCCCATACTTTGTGTTCATCTTTGTTTGAGCATAAAACGAAAATCTTATCAAGTTGAGCAATATCGTGTATAAGCGGTACTGCCATTTGGCCAAGTGACGCAGAGGTAATTAAATAAACTTTCTGATCATCTATACTTGTTAGGTAATCAACACATTGCCCAACGTCAGTAAAAGGTTCTACTGTCACGAAAATTTTTCGAAGCTGTGCCAGCGACTTTTGAAAATCTTCCTTTCCTTCATCAATATTAGCATCGAGCCATACTAAAAGGAAATTTTGCACGATTCTTCTTGGTCGTGCCCGAAAGTCTCCTGAGGAGGCTTCAACAGTGGCGCTAGTAATGGCTTGTTTTGATACTGCTGAAAACACATTTGCACTGTATTCGGCAGAAGTTGCGCTGCTAGTTGTGGATGATTTGCTTTTATCCATCTTGTATGTATTTGAGAGCCTTTTGTTAATGTAAGAAAGAATGAATTAATGCAATGAATAACTAAGAAGTGTTCTTTTATACGACTAAGCTATCAGCGATGCAGCAGATGCTGAATACCTACCTACCCACCCAGCAGATGCAGAATTATGTGGTTTTTTGAAAAATTAAATACTTATACAATAGAACTCTTCTGAGTTTCCTAAAATCTGAAATGTGCTTGTTTGGTATTCTGCAGGTCCTAATCTCACTCAATTAATAATGACTTCCGAGAAAGACTCACTTTCTAGTTGATAGCCAAATAAAATTCTCTACTATCTGCTTAGAACTAGTTTTTCTAGCACTAATACCTTAGTCATAATACTAGTTAAAGACTAAATAGTTTTCACATGCTTTGACAATTAATTCGCAGATTGGTAGTTTTCATCCTTTCGAAGCGAAGTTTCTTTTTAATAGGTTCAGCATTTTATTTTATCTGTGTCTTAAATCAAATGGATGTTTGGAAGAAAATTCAACAGTTAAATATACGTAGAAAACTTAATATTTTATTAAAAACTAATATCTTCAGGTGAAAAATCATTCACTATTATTTTTCTATATAATCTATGAACAATTTAAGTTAAATAACAGGGTATTTAGCATTTCTACATTGAATATTTATCGAATGCCGCTATCTTCAACGTAATTAGCCTAATAATGTTGGAGCTAAAATATACTTACATAGTAAATTGTGCTGGAGTGTGAGGTTTTTCTCTGATATGTTTGCAATGACTTGTAAATTGTATTTATCGTTAACAAAATTGCTTGGTTTTTTTACCACTTACTTTTCTTTGCTTGAATCAATGAGCCATGCCATTTTCAGTAAGAAAACAGTGTTTTTTCATATATGCGCTCGTCACTGTGTATTTTTTTCTCTTTCAATCTTCTAACTATTTTTTCGCTTTTCTGTAGATCACTGTTCCTAATAGGAATCTGAAATAGAATGTACAAATACACTACGCTGTTTTGAGCATCATGGTTTCGTACACTTCAGCAGTGTCCAAGTTCCCAGGAGTCGGAAATTCGTTGGGAATTGGGAACTCAAAAATGAATTAACAGGAATAAGTGATGATAAACCAAAGCATAGCAACGTTATGAGGGATTCCAAGGAACTCAAGGAACTCTGGGAAGTCAGGGAGGTTACAAATATGAGGGAAATAAGAGCCTGGACTCAATTCGTTCGGATCGGACCATCAGTATATCGAGTACTATACTTAATTGGCATGATACCTAATGGCGATAATGGACATAATAGATATATGAGGTCACGGTGGCGAAATGCGCAAATTTTCTGTTCGCTTAAGAATGAGTTGCGATATTTTAGAGTGATTGTTTATTATGCTTTGATAAATTTATACGTTGAATAAAAGTGGAATTTGGGAGCTTCGGATCGTTCGGCTTCAGCGATGGTGGGATATAAGAGAATCATGATTGATGGCATCATTCAGTTTTCAAGTGACGAAAATATTCTATCTATGAAACGTTTCTGGGTGCTTATATGGGTAGATAAACAGGTAAATCAGGTTATCTATCTATCCAGATAGCAATTAATAGCGGGCAATATCTAAATATATATCTGTTTGTTTAGCTATTCCTCTAATGGTGTTGCAACTGCTGATAATATTCACATTTACAGAGGAACACACAAATCTAGTTATGACAGTCGGTGTCACGAAAGGACTGACAGCCTCAGCGGGACTCACAGTACAANATTCCGCAATTTTGAACATTCCGGAACCAGTTCCGCTCACGGAACCAATTCCATCTAATTCCCGGAATTCCGTTTATCCCTTCCGATTCAATTCCGGAATTACACGGAATTCCTACGAATTCCGTCCGATTCCCAGCGATCCCGTATTGACCTAATTCCGGAATTCCGGACCGGAATCGGATCATCACGAAATGGGTAAGACAAGATAGAATAGTGATACAAGTTGTAATTCCAGAATTACTAGGAATTCCCGGAATTCCTTGCGATTCCGGAATTGAGTGATCAATGGGCAACTCATATGTCTTACAGCTCGGTTACAAATGCAATTTCGGTACGGAATTCCGTAGAATTCCGGAATCGGGCAGTGTTCATATTTGACCTAATTCCGGAATAGACGGAACTGATTCCTGGGGCGGAACTGGTTCCGAAATGTTCAACATTGCGGAATAGGATGACTGCTCTGAGGTCACGGTTGGTTAATGCGCAAATGATCTGTTCGCGTAAGAATGAGTTGGAATAATTTAGTGATTGTTTATTATGCTTTGATAAATTTATACGTTGAATAAAAGTGGAATTTGGGAGCTTCGGATCGTTCGGCTTCGGAGATAGTGGGATATAGGAGAATCATGATTGATGGTATCATTCAGTTTTTAAGTGACGAAAATATTCTATCTACCCAGGTCGAACAGTACGGTCCGTATACGGCCGTTTACGGTTACTTTACGACTATTTTCCGGGCGAAAGTTTGCGGTAATATCTGGCGCAGTAATACGGACCGTATGATCATGAGAGTACGGAACACAAACAGCCGTAAACCATGAAAATTCAGTCCCGTTTACGGCGCCGTATTACTGTACCATGTATTACGGGTAAATACGGCCTATTTACTGCCATAAATATACAGTTTTGACATCGTTTACCATCGATAAGCAGACTGTAAACGAGTCCATTTTGGTCAACCTGGGTATGAAACGTTTCTCGGTGCTTATATGGGTAGATAAATAGGTAAATTAGGTCATCTATCTATGCAGATAGCAATTAATAGCGGGCAATATCTAAATATATATCTGTTTGTTTAGCTATTCCTCCAATGGTGTTGCAACTGCTGATAATATTCACATTTACAGAGGAACACACAAATCTAGTTATGACAGTCGGTGTCGCGAAAGGACTGACAGCCTCAGCGGGACTCACAGTACAACGTCATAAATGAGGGTGTCGCGACAGGATTGACAGCCTCAGCGAGATTCATGATAGAACAAACTGACAGTGACGTTCAATTTGGCGTATTTAAGTCTAGTACCCATGTGCTTGAGGCAAAATGAATTTGGTGGAAACCTTTGAGACCTATTGAATCAGTTGGTGATAATCAGAGAAACGGCGCGAGGAATCTCTTGTAGTGGAAAGTTGTCAAGTATGTGGGAAATGATGTTATTATTACTGTGTCAAAGATATGGTTGTTCTATAACATACCAAGTTGGGTGTGGGTGAATCAGTTAGAATAGCAACACCTACATCGACCCCTCACCCACATCCATAGCCTCAAGAAAAAGAGATGAACGCTCAACATTGCTCTCGCTGTAGCGACTGCCATAAAAGCATGAATTTCAATCTTCAAAGTAGCGAAAGCGGTGATGTTACGAACGAACATCTCGTAGCGAAAATTTCAAGCTTCTAGAACACATCGCATCTTTTAACTTGTGCAAAGCATACGAAATTTTTGCACAATAACTTAACTGATAAAGCGTGCTTCATCCAATCAGAATTTCATTGATAACGTCAGTGAAAGAACACAATGCATTTTCACACGTGAATCTTTTCTTTACAGAAAAATGTTTTCATTTCACATGCTTTCAGCTCAAAATTGATCCTATCGACCGGTCAGGAAACCATTGCTTTCCCAGAGTTCCTTGGAGTCCCTAACTTCCCAGGGTTCCCTGACTTCCCTGAGATGCTTCACGTGTTGTGGTTTCACGTCGCTAGTTGTTGCTTATTTATTTTTGAGTTCCCAATTCCCGAAAGTTCCCGACTCCTGGGAAGTTGGGCACGTCTCACTTTTTCTTATCTTTAGCATAGATAATGTTATGATGCCTCTATCTTTTTCTTCTATTGGATGAAACACAAAGTTTTGATTACATCCAATAAATATATTTCTTTTAATCATAAAGGCATGCAAATTTTCGTAACAGTTACTGTGTAAATTCTATTTCGTTAGGGTTCAATACACTTTGTTTTGCTGGGTACACTCTTTCATTAGGAACACTGATTGCCGCAGATAAAGTTCTATATGCTACTAATTCATCACCTTAATAAATGTATTCTCTTACAATAATACGTCACTTTCTTAGCAATACATTTATTTTTCAAGAAAATAATAGAAGTGTCCGTTTATAATTTATTTGTTTTGGATTTTAAAATACCCAAAAAGTAAAGTCAAATTTTTAATTAATTTTATTTTTTTTGGCTGAAAATGTACTTTAAATAAAGCGAAAATAGGCTTTTGATTGCCAAAAAAAGAGACAATTGATCGCCAAATTTATTTGGATTGAATAGATAGTGGATGCCAATATCAATTTGGTTAGATATGTATAAATCAAGTAAATGAACATCATTTGATGATTGCGTTGCATCGGAATCCTCGTGTTTTCAGTGAAAACAATATCAAATTATTGGAGATTTTAGTAGATAATAATCGGATTTTTTTGCACCAAAATCCGAATTATAATCGATTGAAATCTCCAATAATTAACGATAATTTAATTTTTAATCGAACAACAATTTTGAAAATCCGACAAAAATTTTGATTAAAATCGTATCAAATCCGGATTCTACATATGAGTTTAATCAAGCATACATGATTTTAATCTAAGTTTTACCGGATTTTTAAGATTATTGTTCGATTAAAAATCAAATTATCGTTGATTTCGAAGATTTCAATCGATTATAATTCGGATTTTGGTGCAAAAAAAATCCGATTATAATCTACTAAAATCTCCAATAATTTGATATTGTTTTCAC